ACATGGAGAATCCAGATCCGTTAAAAACTGAAATTTGGAAATTTGGCGCTTAGTTCCCAGGACAGATGAATGTTGAGTGGCCTCCGAAGACGAGATTAGATCTCCTATTTGCTCGCAATCGAGATGCGAGCGGGAAGGGGGGGGGGCACACACGCGATTTCTATTTCGACCTGAATATTTTCCCAGGGAAGGGGCTTTTCTCCTCGTTTTTCGAGAAGTTTTACCTCCGAAAATCCACCATAAATAGGTTTTGCCACTGCAACATTTTGGACCATTGAAAATCTCTGAATACTTGTCACCTTGTCTATCGATTTCTTTGACGGTTGCAGCTAAGAATACACGTCCATTTACATCCTTATTTGCAGGATTTTTCAAATTTCCTTGCCCGCTTGGTCATATTTGCTGCAAATGTGACTTTCTAGTTTATTTATTTCATTCGCCTTCCCTAGTGTAAAAATTATTCACCTATAAATGATTTCAACCCATGAATGATTTCAAATTGGAGGAAATAGTGCAAGAAATTCTCGGGTCTCTATGACATGCCCATATTTCTGCGGGAAAACATGGAGCGCGAGCCTCTTGCCTCAAGAGAGCACTATTCAAGGGGTAAAAGTGTGATCGCTTTTAGAGTAAGAGGTAAATCATTTGTCTTTTTTCGAAAGCGTCAAGTGAACAAGAGATGGCGGGTGCGGTGCTGTTGCGCTCACGTGGTGCAGGAGCGTCAATTTAAAATTTGGCGCTTTTTACTGCAGTTCAGATCGATAGCCAATCAGAGACCGTCATCATCTAAACACAAACAATCAAATTTTGAGGTTAGTCAATGTTAGTTCTAAGTTCTCAATCAAAAAGTTTTGCGGTTTCTGTCAGAGACAAGTTTCTGTCTATAAAATTCTGTCTCATTCAGTGCATCTACTTCCTAAGTTACCGGAATGCCTTCAATGAATACAATTCGTAATTATCTCATCAATTTTCTCTGGGTCTTAAGCACAATCATGTCTCATCTCCACGCTTGAGCTATGCCATCAGCAGATCAAGTCAGCTAATCATGGAAGCACAAGAAATGATTATCGTAAACTCTCCTCGGAAGGAGCAAGGTTGAGGTTCACTCTTTCCTGAATATTTTTCTCGGTGAGGGTACCCACTAATTTCTTTAAGAATGGCTCCTCTTTTTAAGGAGACTGGGATTTTTGGGCTGTTAGTTCTTATGGTCGAATGCATCTAATTTCACCGGACGACTAATTTTTACTGCAGTCCCAGCCACAGAGGCGGCAACAGAGCAAAATTTGACTGCCTGTATCCAGTGATATCCTAATTGCTTCCGCAGCTGAATTCTTTCAAAGGCCCCAGTCTTCTTAGGGACCAGAAATTTTTGTTATGATATTGAGTTAATAGGTCAGTCGTGCTGGTCTCAGAATCGTGTCTTGGTGCTTAATTCTTGCAGACCAGTTTAAAATAACAAATAAGTCCAAACAGCGACTTCTTACGTTCAATATTAACCGAGATTTTGCCCTTTGAAAAGTCCGGGTTTTGACATCATCCACCGCGGTAGTAACAGCTGTGGTATCTTCAACCTTACCTACTTTCATCAGTCAGTGACGCGTTGGTTACTCAACGTAAAACTTGAATGAAATCAAGGTGGAAGAAACCACAGGTGTCACTACCGCAGTGGATGACGTCAAAAATCCGATTTTTCAATGAGCAATATCTCTGTTAATATCGAATGTAAAAAGTTGCGGTATGGACGGATCATATTATTTTTAGCTAATCCATAAGAATCAAGCATCAAAACACGATTCTGTGACCAGCGCAATTGACCTATGATTGCATGGCATGTCCAGTCGTTCCTTTCGAAAATAGAGAGGCCGTAACTACGATTCTGTGACATCACGCTAGTAAATGGAACTCGGCTGCGATTTAACATGTGTTCTCATGAGAGAATGCATGACACATGTCCCTTTAGTGCTAATATTTTTTCAGGTGTTGATCTGATGCAAAAATTCATAAGAACCTTTTTGAAAGAAGATAAAATTTCACATCAGAAAACTGCCTAGTTCATAAGTTACACCGTCTGATAATTGAGGAAGTAAAGCTAAACACGACTAAATACCAAAAATCGTCACCCCACTAAGATTCAAAGGCGCCGCTCATGCAACTTCGGCCGATTGACGGCAGTTCTGATTGATTAACATGGCGATTACGCTACTAGTTTGACATCATGAAACGGGGTTGTCATGGCCTCTCCATTCTCTTAGGCAACTGTCCAGTGAGCTGTCAGGCGCTGAATTAGGTGTCCATAGCAAAACAAAGTACTCAACTTTCTTCTGGCATTTCTAGTTTTGCAAGGTTAGCTTAGTCTAATGCTAACATGATTTGCTTAATTTTAGTTTTATAAAAGTGGAAACTGTATAGTAGAGTTAATAGTAAGGTCTCACTTCAGTAAGTCTTGCAAGGCTTACCTACTCTCTACCAAGCTTTCCTGTGGCAAGACCAATTTTTGAATAGCACTTGTGTCAGAGAATGATGTCTGCCTTTCCAGAATGTTTTCAGAGTGGTTTTTGACGGACGTTTCAGTGTGGAATAAATTGGTTCTATTATTTTATTTTATTATAGATTGCTGAAGGAGTTGCAGTTTCTGTCATAATGCCTACAGTTATCGTTCTGGATGTTTCCTTGTCAATGGCCTGTCCAGTTGCCAACTCTGAGTCTGGCGAGGTCTACACAAGGCTTCAACTGGCTGTTAAAGGGATCAACTCATTACTTGATTATCTGGCCCTGCACTGCAAACTTGAATTCGTAGCCTTGGTTTGTTAATTTTCTCTTTTTTACATTTACTTAGACAGAGACCCTGTAATATGTTACTTATAAACTGCTTGTAAGAAGGAGATTGTTAATAAAAATTCTTAATGACAAAATTCCCACTGAAAAGAAAGTTGTTTTAAAGAAAGATTGAAATAGGTAAATCCATCAAGAACTCATGGATTAAAATGAAAGTGATGGTTTAGAGTTGGCTCTGACTGTGGTTTGATCAAGTTAAATGGTTCAGATCCGCGCCAAACTGAGGAAGCCAATGGTTCACTAACGAAGGCAAAAAGGTGTGACATGCAAACTATCACCTTCTAGCTGTCTTTACCTTACTTTTATCCTTTCTTGAAATGAAATGGAAAGGAATGGCTATGGGCCATTAACGAAAAAAGACTTGAGAATTACTCTCGATCAGCCCCAGTAGAAAGAATGGGCAAAGTACATTGTCAAAATGCCTGAGTCAAGACAATGCCTCTAGTTTGAATCTGTTTCTTTTGAATCTGTTAACCGACTTATTATTACTATTCATCCTATTTTTTCCATTTTGCCCTCAGGAGTCCCACTCTTTTATACAATGGATTTCTTATTTTTCCTTGTGAATATATCTCTATTGAAATATTTCATAGCTTTTAGATTAGTAATTAAAAGACAGGATGGAAATGATAATTTAATTTTGTCTTTTATATTTAAGATAGATTGAGCGGTGCCAAGCTTCTGCAGCATTTAAATAACAATATATTTTTCGTGTGTTGTTCTTTCTGCTCTTCCATTTCAACAACAAACACTCCCATCATAAAACTCCTAAGATCTATATGCTGACTTGAATACTTATTTCAGATGACCTACTCATCTCTAGTGGATGTCATTAACCCATTCACACGCGATTTTGATCAGATCAAATCCAAGCTGTCGCAGATCATTGAGCTGGATAAAACTTGTTACGAGCCTGTCTTGACTGCCATCAATGGATTTGTTTTGCGCGAGTGGGGCAGCTCCACACCATGTCAGGTATGTGTTAGCTCTTGTGTAATGAGTGACTGCTCTTTTAGTGTTTGATCAACATACGGATAAAACCTTAAAAATTGTTTTCATCAAACAAAAATTATTTTGTGATGCTCAATCCGTCCTACCTACTCTCTTGAAATAGAATATCATTATGGTCTCTTAAGATTGCGTGTTACTCTGTGTATTTTCTGGAGGAAATTAGCGGCACTCTCACGATCTTTCCTCTGACAGGATCCAAGCTGGAGACCGTCAAGGAGTCTTTAATATGAATGCGTAGGTCAGGAGCATGAGGCCCTCCAAAGCTGGTTTCCCAGGATTTTTTACTAAAATTGTCAGCAGTGGCGTGGCGTGCTTTGCGATATATCGATAGATATGCCACTCAAACCTATGAAAAAAGACCGATTATCAGGGTGTTTGCAGTGAACACCCTAGTAATCGCTTCTTTACCATAGTTTCAAATGGCGAGATATCGATAATCGATCATTCACGCCACACCACTGATTGTCAGCGTTTACAATATAAGGGTCTTCAGTATGAGGAGGCAAATTTTTGGAGGGAAAAGCATGGCTGCTCTCAGCTAAATAATATGCAAGCAAATACGTTCATTTTTGTGCCAATTAAGGTAAAGTCGCATCATAATTTAGGAACGTCAAGCCCTGAGTAAATTCAAATAGCTGTATCTCAAAACTAAATTTTTTAAATGCTAACTTTAAATTGTTATAATGGCGATTTGGCCTTGAAGTTTTGAGAATCAAGTGCACTAAATTTTTTATGAAAAACTCCTGCAAGCAATGGTACCATATACTCAATTTTGAGCTTTTTGG